TCTGGGTGCATATGTAGGTAAGTAATTACCTACATTGTGTACTTGAAGAACTGAGGGGAAATGCTGCCGGATTTTTTCTTAAATTGAAAAGTTGACATACATTCACTAGTGAGATTAGACGTTCAAGAATGGGTTAAGTTGGAGTGATAAGGGCATTTTGGGAGCATTCATATTTATGCGATATGGATGATATATATGCTATGTACTTTGATTGACATAATATATGTTACATTTATACATTGTTTGAAATGTGTTGGTATGTTTAAAGACAATTTAAAACGTCAATGGATCGCGGTTGGATGTATAGTAGACGTGATACATTGGAATTCATTAATGGGGTTCAAGAGTTTTGCAAGAGTGCTTCACAGTATCAGTTCAGAACTGGTGTCATGAATTACCTTTATTGTCCTTGTGTCAATTGTAATAATGTCACATGAGTCGATAGTGTTGATACCATCATGGCTCATGTACAATGTCATGGGGTTAGGCCTCAATATCATGTGTGGGTTTGGCATGGTGAAAAGGGATCGTATAGAGAAAATGTTGTTGGGAATGAGACGCATGATAAAAGTGCCGAGATTCATGTTGAATAAGAATATGGGAGTGATGATGGTGGAGATGGGGATGAGACCGAGGATGGTGGTAGTGATCACTTAGATGAGATGATACGTGATGTTGAAGGTGAATTTGGTGACTGATTTGATGTATTTGAGTCATTATCAAAGGCTGCCAAAAAACCTTTGTATCTTGGGCCCAAAAAACCCTAAAACTTAGTAAAATGCTCTTTTGATATGATTTCAAACAATAGACACCTAAGATGAGGTAATACTGACATGTTATGATAAAGAAATAGTTCATTAGATAGCAAATGTAGAAAATGGGCAAAATAGAAGTCATACAGGCCTTATTTGGGCGAATTTAGATAAAAAGCGTCCTAAAACTTAGTAAAAACCCTCTTTTGATGTGATTTCAAACCTTAGACACCTAAGAGTAGGTAATACGGGCATGCTATGAGAAAAAAATAGTTAATTTGATAAAAAAAAATATAGAAAATGGGCAAAGTATAAGTCATATAGGCCTTATTTAGGAAAATTTTGATAAAAAGCGTCCTAAAACTTAGTAAAACCCTCTTTTGATGTGATTTCAAACCTTAGACACCTAAGAGTAAGTAATATGGGCATGCTATGACAAAGAAATTGTTCATTTGATAGACAATGTAGAAATTGGGCAAAGTAGAAGTCATGTAGGCCTTATTTGGGCCATTTTGTGAAAGAAACAAACCTATATATGTGGCCTTTGAAATAGTTGGCATACATTTGGTTTGAATTTTATGTAATAAGCATGATGTATAATGTTTGGTTTTTTATTTCTTTTTTTTCCAAAGGTTTGCAAGATTCAAAGGGAAGGCCCGTTAACAAGCAAAGAAATTGATTAAATTTGCGACATGTGGGCTTTTTTTCGTGACATTTGATGGCATCTAGTATTGTCGGAGTGGGTGCACACACACCGAATTAAGTGAGCTTAATTTTACTTATTATGAACAATATTTAATTTTTTTTATATATATTTACATTAATTATATATAACTAGTACGTAGTATATATTATTTGTGAGTGTTATCTTTATGTATATTGGTGTACTTACATATTATTGTTAATTAAATATATTATTGATGTTACTTTTGATATGTATATTTATTTCATGTTGTTATTGTATTATTATTCTTTAATTTGTAATATTTTAATTATTACTAATTATTAGTATTATTAATAATAATATGGATAATTAATAATAATAATTCATAATATTTACATATTAGTATGTATATTTAAACAGGTCACTAATACTATTATTATTAATTAATACTAATTTTGGGGAAAAAAATCAAATGGAAAGCAGTTTGGTGCCAAAACCGCTTGCCATTACACTTGACATAATATTATGTCAAGTGCAAATGGCAAGCTGTTTCACCCCAGAACCGCTTGCCATTCTCCCCTAATGGCAAGCGGTTTTGAACCGCTTACCATTTAAATGGCTAATGGCAATCCCATAAGCCCATGCGGTTCAAAACCGTTTGCCATTACGTTTTTTCTACTAGTGATAGTTATAATAAAATTAAATATATAGGTTAGATTTGAATCAATCATTACCAAAAAATTGTTTGCATATTAGCATTAATTTATTATATATAAGTTGCCATAAATTAACTTATTTCCAAATAGTTTAATTTCTATCAAATTTTATTAACAATATTCTGAATCAAAATGATTTATACAATAAATTTAAACCAAAATTATTGTTCTAAAATTTATTTAAATTATTATTTTTATCATTATAAGACAAGCAAATCATAGAGCGGCATGTGTGAGAATCACATTGATTTGCTTGTCTTTTAGTATAATATATTGATTGATTGATAATTATTAACAGTATTCTGAATCAAAATGATTTATACAATAAATTTAAACCAAAATTATTATTCTGAGATTTCTTTATATTTTTTTTACCATTATAAGACAAGCAAATCATAGAGCGACATGTGTGAGCATCACATTGATTTGCTTGTATTTTAGTATAATATATTGAATTGATGATTGATTGATTGATTGATGATATATTGATGATGATTGATTGATTGATTTGTAAAATAATCTCATTTTTTGGTGAAATAAACAATTAATCGAGTGTAAGCAATTGTATATTACAATATTAATAATTGTATGTTATATTATATAGTCAATTATTATCTAATTTTAATATTAAGGAGCATAATTTCACCTTTTTTTTTATAAGAGCATAATTTCATTTATTGGCAAAATAATTGATATAGATTTAGTAGTTGTATTATTATTAAAGAGCATAATTTTATTTTTTAAAAAATAACAATTATTGATCGAGAGTTAGTATGTGTATATTACAAGTTTATAATTTTTTTGTCTTTTAATATTCGATTATATAATATTAAGGAATAAGATCACATTAATATTGCAAACGCATAATGAATGAATAGTTTTTTTTTATTTAATATAGTTAGTAATATTCTTATATGATGAGAAAAAAGATAAAAAAAAAACAAAATTAATTAGAGATGTTGTTACAGAAATAACATAGTTAGCATTTAAACTCAAGTCGACGTCATCAAACGTCAACCTACAAGTGTCACACACGTGTCATCGTCAAGCTGTGGAACTGAATAAATAAGAGGATTTAGTTTATTTTATTATAAACTTTATACAGAGATTGTACCCAAAAATAAAATACTAATATAAATTCATTTGTTACTTTATTTCCCAACTTTATTTATTTAGACTCGAAATTTGTGAAAACAAATTTTGGCACGCTCGGTGGGACAATTTTCGCTCTTTATCTCCGCTCTCCAAATTTCAAAACTCGTAGATTTAATGGGGCATGTCAAATTTGCTTTCAAATTCTACAGGAAAGTTTCGAGACCAAGTTGCATTCGATGTCAAATCTCCACAACAGGTCTCAAGGGGGCATTTGTTGCACCAAAATTTTGTTAATTATTAGGTGTCAGATATATGTAAATAAGGAGATAATATCAAAAAAAATATAGTGTATAGTGTGGAATATAGTATGTAAACAAGTCAAAAAGACCCTATCTCCTCCCTACTACCAAACATTGTAGGTATATAGTGTGGAATAAGCCGACAAGGCCCCGTACTATAAACACATATCAAAACCCTAACCCTTTGGAGAGAGGAATCAAGAGATCTACTAGAGGTGTAACCCCACAAATTATCAATGAAATAATTGTTTTTGTATATTTCCTACCTCCTTAATTATATTTTGCAGGTTTAAATTTTTATGGTTTACAAATTGGCATGCTCGGTGGGACAATTTTCGCACTTCATCTCCGCTCTCCAAATTTCAAAGCTTGTAAATTTAATGGGGGCATGCTAAATTTGCTTTCAAATTCTACAGGAAAGTTTCGAGACAAAGTTGCATCCGATGTCAAATCTCCACAACAAATCTCGAGGAGGCATTTGTTCACACCAAAATTTTGTTAATTATTAGGTGTCAAATATACGTAAATAAGGAGATAATATCAAAAAAATATAAGATATCTTCTTCAAGATCTCGTAGAATATTCAGGTTCTCTAGCATTTTTCACCTTATCGGCATACAACTCTGGGTGTTGAAGTCCAAGAGATAAATGTTGACACATCTCTTTAGGCAAATGAAAATTTTGCCTCCATCCCATGCGTGAAGGAAGAGCATCTAAGACATTAGATATTTTTGGGTTTACTACCACCTTATATTGTTGTAAAGCTAATTTTGTTGATGTTTCATTATCAACTTGTTCCTCCTCACTTTCAACAAAGGAAACCGTATTCACCGTAACCATAGCAAAGTAGTCTTCCGGGAAACTCCTCCAAAGCTACGGGACACAACGACTCTTGGTCAAGCAAATCTATTGGGAGGACCTTTTGCTTGCTGGCTTCCTTTTCTTTCTTTATACCCTTCGAAAGCTTAGGTTTTCTCTTCCTTTGCTGCTTTCTTCTACGATGTGAAGGTTGTGATTTTGGAGTATGCACTTGTTTCCTTGGCACTAATGTCCACCCTTCGTCATCATCTTCATTCCAGGAGTTAAGATGTGTAGGTTGTTCAACCTGGGATGATACTTCATGTCGAATAGGTTAACTCTCCACAAGTATGATCACAAGATCCAAACTTCCAAATTGCAAAGTTTGAGCCTGAAATGATGGTGCAAGAGCTACTGTGGCATGATTGGATGTTACTGGCTCGTCGACATCTAATTCGATTGTCACATCCTTTGCCAATTGCATTATTTTCTCCTTAAATGTTATACACTTTTCAATAGGATGATTGATCAACCTATGATACGGACAATAATTGGGATCGGATGTCTTACTCATCTACTCAGGGCTCTTTGACTCAGGCAATTGAATGATTTTGTTTTCAAGCAATTTGTCTAACATGCCAGACAAGTCAGAGTCTGGGAAAGGGTACTTTTTAGCTTAAAGCTCTTTCAAAGTAGGTTTATCTTTCTTGACAAATCTTGAAGATGTACCCTTACTTTCTTCTTTCTTCTTTACCGAAATCTTGATGGGTGCAGAAGAGGTAGTCACAGACAACGTCTCCTTAGTTGAACTTTCGGAGGACTTGTCGCTTTTGTAATATTCCTTCTTTTCTTTCTTGGCTTCCGAAGAAAGGCCCTTCTTCTTCTTGTTGTAGGCGATTGAGAGTTCCATATCATGAGCTCTCGTCGCCAACTCTTGAAACGATCCTGGCTTGATGCCCTTTAGGATGTAATGTAGTTCCCAACTCATCCCATTAATACACATCTCGATGGCAGAGGTTTCAGTCAGGCGATCTTTACATTCCAAACTTAGAGCCCGCCAACGGTTGATGTAATCAATGACTGGCTCTTCCTCCCATTCCGCGGTTTGGGTTAGGTCAATCATGCTAACGACACACTGAGTGTTGAAGAATCGACCTAAAAACTCCAATTCCATTTTATCCCAACTTTCAATGGATTCAGCCTCTAAGTTGGTGTACCAGTTAAAAGCGGTTCTTTTAAGAGAATGAACGAATTGTTTAACCAGCAACTCACCCCTGGTACCACCATTGTTGCATGTCCTTATGAAGTGCACAACATGTTGTTTTGGGTTACCCTTTCCATCAAAGAGTTGAAAATTTGGAGGTTGATATACAAACGGCATTTTCAGCTTATCTATTCTCCTAGTGTAAGGCTTCACATAACGTCGGCTATTGTATGAACCTCCACCTCCAAGTTGGCTCTTTACAGTATTAGATATCATAGCTTGAACTTGTTCAACAGTGATTGAATTTTGTGGCCCATTTGGCTTTAATTCCATCGATTTAATACTACCATCTAAGTTGTAATCGCTTTCAGTCTCAATCGGTTGTTTCTCAAGCTTCTTTGTCAAAACAACAATTTGTTCACTTTGTTGTTTGATTTAAGCATCTTTTTCCTCCCCATCTTTCTTCAACTGTTCAAGGATACTGCTCATTATTTCAGCCAGTTGTTGTTCGACCGTCTTAGTATGCGTCACCATAACAATAGCAAAAGTAGGCTCAAGTGAACTCACACTAAACTCATTGTCATGTTCTTCATTAAAGTGATCGAAGGATGAGTTTGTGTGCATGACAGGCTCGAACGAACCAAACACAAGACTCTCATGTGATTCGTGAGTGGATTGGAGGATGTGAGAGACCTCACAGAAGCAGCAGGACGAGAACGACTTTTTCGTGCTTTGGTTGGGACTGACGCGACACGCAAGCTTCTTGCGGCGGAGTCAACAACATCTTTCTTCATCCCTCTAGTAACGATGCCCTCATCAGTTTGGCTATTAAGCATTTCAGCCAATTCAACAACCCTTTGTTGAGCTGTAGCAGAGAACCTTTTGGCGACAGGGGTCTTTGAGGTCATTTCAAGTTTTATTTCTTTTTTTTTTAACGTACAAAAAAAGAGATGAGAGGCAGATATAGTCCCACCGAGTATGCCAATTTGTTAACCATAAAAATTCAAACCTGCAACATATAATTAAAGAGGTAGAAAAATATACGGAAACAATGATTTTATTAATATTTTGTGGAATACAACTCTCGTAGATCCCTTAATTCCTCTCTCCAAAGGGCTAGGGTTTTGATATTTGTTTATAGTAAGGGGCCTTGTCAGCTTAATCCATACTATGTACCTACATTGTTTGGTGGTAGGGATGAGATGGATCTAGTGACTTATTCCATCTGAGCCTAATTAAACCTTAAAAACAACTCTCTTTATATAGAGTGTCATAGAGTAGTAAACAAGATAACTATCAAATATTCCACGAGATCTTGAAGACAACATCTTATATTTTTGGATTTTTCTAAGCTATGCCCCCAAGGTTATTGAGTTTCTAAGGTGTGCCCATGCTTATTACATATTTTTGATTTGATATTATCTCCTTATTTACATATATCTGACACCTAATAATTAACAAAATTTCGGTGCCAACAAATGCCCCCTTGAGATTTTTTGTGGAGATTTGACATCGGATGCAACTTGGTCTCGAAACTTTCCTGTAGAATTTGAAATCAAATTTGGCATGCCCCCATTAAATCTACAAGTTTTGAAATTTGGAGAGCGGAGATGAAGAGCGAAAATTGTCCCACCGAGCGTGTCAATTTGTAAACCATAAAATTTCAAACCTGCAATATATAATTAAAGAGGTAGAAAAATATACGGAAACAATGATTATATTAATATTTTGTGGATTACAACTCTCGTAGATCCTTTGATTCCTCTCTCCAAAGGGCTAGAGTTTTGATATTTCCTTATAGTACGGGGCCTTGTCAGCTTAATCCATACTATGTACCTACAATGTTTGGTAGTAGGGAGGAGATGGGTCTTGTGACTTATTCCATCCGAGCCTAATTAAACCCTAGAAAGTAGAAACGACTCTATTTATATAGAGTGTAGTATAGTATTAAACAAGATAACCATCAAATATTTTACGAGGTCTTGAAGACAATATCTTATATATATGTTTTTTGATATTATGTCCTTATTTACATACATCTGACACCTAATAATTAACAAAATTTCGGTGTCAACAACGGCCATCCCCCATTACCACCAATCGCAATCACAATTCGCTGAGCAGCCTTAATTTTGACCCACTCTCGTCCCAATCTCGCAAGCAATGTATATGAAGAATGCCACATTTCAGTGGGGGGAAAGGGGGTGGAGACGACGGCTAGCGAAGGAGCAAAATGGTTTGGCCGGCATGGGAAGGGGTTTTTGGCGTCGGCCGGTGGTGGTGGGGTTGCTGCCGGCAAGGGGAGGGGTTTCCTTTTATCGTTTTTAAAAAATTGACTAATGATATTGTGACACGTGTCACAGGTAACCTATTGAATAGGTTACGAACTAAAAGGTTACCAATAAATCACATTTCATTTTTGGCAAATGTATGTCTAATGTCATTCTATTTTAAAATAAACTAAAAGTCGTTCTATATACTACGTATAAAAAATCGGTGAAAGATGGTGTTATTTCTAACAAATTTTCCAAAACAAAATGGAAATAATTAACAAAAACGTAACGACAGCTGATGGTTTATATCGTTGCTATCTTACTCAAACATTAAAGTATTCCCACTTTCTCATTTTCCAACACAATAAGCCAACAACACCCACACAATCCGTTAAATTAAATCTGAAAAAAACCCCACCATTTTTTGTCATCGTCTTCTTAGAATCCACCACCATTTTCTCTCTCAAAACCTTCAAATTCATCCAAAAATGGCGGCAGCACTACGAGCCACATCCTCCGCCATTTCACGAGCAGTCACCTCCAGAACTCCGCCGTTGATTGCCGGAGCTCGGTGGTCGTCGTCGTCGACGTGGTGGGGTCACGTGGATCCGGCACCCAAAGACCCTATTCTTGGTGTCACCGAAGCTTTCTTGGCCGATCCTTCTCCCAACAAAGTCAATGTTGGAGTTGTATGTTTTTTTTTTTACTTAGCTTATGATTCATACATGGTTCGATTTGTTTTTTTAATTTTTGCTATTTCTCAGAATTTAATTTGATTTTTGTGATTTTTTGGTTTTGGGGTTGGTTTTATTCGAATGAATTTTCAGGGTGCTTATCGAGATGATGATGGGAAACCTGTTGTTTTGAATTGTGTACGAGAAGCTGAAGCTAGAATTGCTGGTAATTTAAACATGTAAGTCCCCTGTTTTTGAATTTCTATATTTTGTAATGTATAAATGTTTATTTGCAATGAAATGTGAATTAATGTTATAATCTTTATATGTTGCTTTTGGAGTTATGGATGCATGTGGGGTAGCTTAGACGCAGAAACTCAAACAAATTTTGTCCAATTCTTGTTTTTTATTAGTATAATTGGGAGATGTTTAATAGGATAAAGATGTTTAACTTATATGTGTTGTTGAGCATTATACTGTTTTATGTAATGATAAGTTAGTGAAAGTAATTTGAAGATTTACAAACATGTACTATCTCCATTAGCTTTTAGTTGCAACTTTGGGTATTATTTCGGAGATATAAAATATTTTAAAATTGCAACTAGAAGTCAACGGAGGTAGTAATTTGGTTTAATTGAAGCTGGTATAAATACAGTAAGCTTTCAACAATAGATTTTTCGTAATTTGGTTTATTTAATTTTGTATTTCCATTGTTATTTCAAATTTTTAGTTTATGTAGCCAACCGCACTTATGGGATTTAGGCTTTAATTGATTGATTGTTACTTCAAATACCCATGGATCTTAGTTAAATTAAGGTGATAAACTAGTGGAAATGTGCCCTTTTTTCCGAATGAGATAGAAACATTGAAAACCTACTTTAGAATCTGGTAAAGAACAAAGCAAGGGTCGTAAATAAGAGGGAAGCTTGTGTATAGAAATTCAATACGGGTAACTTGACCCATTGAAGTACTTTGACTACTTTTGTGGTTTGATTTTTGTGTGACTTTGCTTTAAGGTATGTGTAATCCATCATAGGTGCTCCTTGATTTCATTCAGACTTATGCTAGAAATTTGATTTTTTTTTGTTGTTGTCATTTTTTGTTCTGTATTATCTGGTGTTGGCCTGTTGGGTACTAGATACGTATTTAGTTTACACCTCTTTTGGATTTCCATACAGCAAAAGCAATCTAGTAGTTTTTTAGCCTCCATAAAGAATATAAATTAGGAATTGCACCTAGGGCATGCCTGGATTCCCTTGACTAATTAAGGGAGAAACAGTTAGTGGTGAAAGTTTGCTAAGGAATTATTAAAAGGATAATCTTTCCTATCCTTGAAGTTTAGCAATATTCCTTGGGTAAAATCTCCCTATAATTATCTTCAAGCCACTTTCATGCCCGATTGCACAAAGTTACTGCTGCTATCCCGCCACCTCCTTGCAAACCAACTCACGGACCACTGGATGTCTAGAGAGAATGAGAAATAGTTAAGGGGGGAAAAGATTACATGCGTATGGGTTGGGGGAGGGGGATGAGTAATTTTTACCCTCGTTTGGACAAGAAATCATTACTTGTTGAAAGTTTTAGTAATTTTAGTTCCATATCAGGCATTTTTTTTTTTTAAAAAAAAACAGAATTCTTTCTCTGTTGTTTTTCCCACCTCCATTACCTATACTCCAGGCATGCTCCTAGTGTTAATCATATGATCTTCAAATTATCAGTGACTATTTGCTCCATAAAGTACTTCCTTGTGACAACTCTATCAAGGTACACAATCTGAGCATGTTACCTAGGCAATTTAGGCCTTATTAACCTGAATTCAGCTTATTTCACAAAAAAATAAGTTCGTATAAATAGTTCAGGAAGTGAAATTCAGTTTAGAACCAAATGCTCTCTTATCTGAAATATAAATTCAACTTATTTGGTCAAACATAGTGACTATTGTGCCTTGAATGCTTTTTGTTTTGATTTTATTTTAATGAAATTGATACTTTGAAGTAATGTTGAACAATTTGCTTAATTTCTATTTATTTAACCAAACTTTGAAGCTAACCAAATTATAGACATGTACTTTATGTCATGAAGTACTCCCAAATGAACCAACTCAGAACATGAACTAAGCCTACAACTACACTTTGTAACACCCCCAAATTACTCTCTAATATTAACAATAATAATCCAACTTTAGGGAGTAACATGGGAGTATTACTGCCACGTGATTACGTAAGGCTTAACAGTGTTTTGCAGCGAAAAACAATACTTGTCTTTTATTAATAATAATAGTAATAAGAATAGTTAGATACACTTTCAAAGTAGCTACACCACTAATACTACGTTTACTAAATTAAACTAGGTGATCACCGCCCATTATTCCCACTGCAGCATATAG